ACATAAACTAGATTGGAACTGTGTTCATCTTAAAAGAAATTACGATTAAAGAAGTTTAACTTATAAGAGAACAATATTATACAGGTTGGTTTGTTGGAAATGTTATAATGTAGATAAAGTAATATTTGCAAGTTACATGATCTGGAAAAAAAATTGACTAAAGAAAAAATTAAGCCGACGAAATGAATAGAGATGCATAAGTGATTCTTAAAGGGCCACAATAAACGATACAGTTCAAAACTCGTTATGCAATGAATACTTACCATCTAGCTCACAAAATGTTGTTTCATCAGAGTCGTCATAACGAGACCAAGCATCGATTTTGGCTTGACCATCATTGCTTGAAAAAATTCAAAAAAGATGGATGCAAACGAATAGAATAAATCTAAGGCGAGCATATACCAAAACTAATAAAACTTTTTGACTGACAAAAAGTAAGATTAATTTGAATGTTAATAAAACTGTACTAATGTTGCAGACATGTCAATGAGACGGTATACCTTATTGTAACATCAAGCAAACCAAGTTCTTCTTTTAATTTTTCTTCGTCTGAACAGCTCTTAGTGTCATATTTTTTAAGATACTGACAAAATAAGATTGAAATAAAAACAACCTTATTACGTTCGTGCTCAAAATAGATACTGGCTTCAAAAGAATCGCGTAGGCCCTCCGGTAAATCGTTTGTTTTACAATCTTTTACGTGACAATCACGCAAGGCACATCTGTTATCCTCTTCCCAGAAGGGACACAGCTTATTTAATGAAACCTAATAGCATAGATAAAGTTTAGGTTACACAAATACAAAAAAGAAATTAAAAACCATAGTCACCTTAAAGAATCTGAAAAAATCCGAAGACAATATACTCTTAAGTCGAGGATAGATTTTTAAGTTATTAAGTTCTTCGATAACTTCAGCATTGGCAACAGTGTCTTCGATAGGTCCTTTGATCTGTATAAAATAAGTTTCGAAAAAAAGAAGCAGAGATGTTTAAGAATCGAATTTATTTAACAAAGAATCTATTGATATAATTCAGCTATTATCAAGATATCTTAAGGAGATAATATTCTAGCTTACTTGTGCAAAGCAGCTATCACCTATGACACCAAGACTGCATAAGGAAAAAATAAGCAAGGACGCAACAAAACGAAGTGTCATTAAACGTGATAGATTGGGACCTGATTGATTCAATATAACAAGTTCCCACATGAATTGAGCTTAACGTTAGCTCAGTTATTTATTTGGTATAAATTATTTATAAATACCGTAACATACGGTATTCTAATAGGCATCTATAAGCAAATTATTTTTATATATAATGTAATAAATTCAAACAAATTTTTATATGCCTTATATTTAAATATTTATTTAAATTTTAAAAACAAACTATTTTTTGTTATAAGCGTTTTTCTTGATAGGAGCGGGTGGGATGATATGGACCAGGTCCATAGAGGACGCAATCTCTCTCTATCCCGTAGGCAACAATGCGCGTGCCTGATCCAGGAAATCGCCTCACGGCTGCAAACGTAATATAGGCTTTTGTCAGATTTATCTTTTTGATCATTTATTTGACGAATATACTTGTAGAACTCAGGTTGTGATCAACGCTTCTATTTATTACATGCATCATATCTACGAGGTGTTTTCCCCAGAGACTATAAAGCCAATAATGGTATCTCTCGCCTCTCTCTATATTGCCTGTAAAACTGAAGATTTCTCTCGAAAATTGTCTTTATTAATAAAGGCTGCTTACGATACCCTGGGCAAGCCTATGCCACAGGAAACTTCCGATACATTTAAGCGTATCGTTCAGAATGTACACGCCCTGGAAGCCGCTATATTGATGATAATTGGATTCCACACCCTCGAAGTTAAACAGCCCCATGTCATCTTAATCAATGCTATCCGAGCGAATAATTTCCCTAAGGAAATATCACACACAAGCTATTATATTTGCACTAATATGTTGCATTTAACTACCTTGGTCTTGAGACATTCGGCGGAGGCTATTGCGGCTTCTTGTCTATATATTGCTGCCAAATGGAATTCGACGGATATAAAATCATCCTCCGGAGTCGATTGGTTCAATGTATTCTCCCCTAATCTCACCTTGGAAGAAATAAAGCAAATATCTGATGAATTTACTTTAGCTTTTCAGGCGTGTGATCGTAAAATCCGCGAGCAGTTGCAAAATTCCCTGCGCGTAAGTTTATTATTATTCATAGCAATTTTACAGGCAAGAAAGCTTATACGTGAGGAGAGTATTCCCAGGGCTGTCATTCACGACAAAAGAGTGGGCTCATTTGATCCTCAAAGACAGACAGGTGTTAAAATTGATCCCTCTAAGGTGATTTTTCGCTACGGTTATTTTTATTCATAAATACATGCTATGTGGTATTTATCGTGACAATTTTTACCATCATCAGACCTCCCGTCTAACGGATAAAAGGATTTATCCTGAACCGCCTGGCCCTACTGGCGCTCCTAGCGTCCCTCATATACCTTTTACTACTCAGCATACTCACCATCACCCTCGTGTTATCAATCCTGGAGCTGGGGGGCATCCGTATCACAATCAAGCCTACAATCAACAGGCATCACAGGCTCAACAAAATTTTAATGTGAATCGGTCTCAGGCTAATTTACCTGTTCAACCAGCTCACTATGCCTCCTCGAGAGCTGGTGCACCTGCTGAACAGCCAGATATTAAGCGTCAAAGACTTGATCGTAACTTCCTTCACATCTACCCAGATCCTCAATGTAATAGGGTAAGTTTAGGTCTACAATTTGCCCTTAGTTATTTATGTTATTTTTGTGTTTTTAAATTTAAATCGTATATAGCCTCGAGAGGATTCGCGCGTGCCTCGCTTTTTGCCGACGAATAATCGTAGTAATATAGGCAAACCCAATGGACATCCCTCGACTTTCAACCTTGGTAGGGCAACGGCCTCTAAAAATGACTTGCATGAGTTTTTCTAGGCTCTGTTGTTATGAAATATCCTTGTTATAGTCTATTGTAAATGATTTACTCTATTTACCCTATTCTCATGCTTTCCTTTGAATGTTACACATGTCAATTTGTGTGCACCATGTACATTAAGATTTTTTACATTAAATATGTAATAACTTTTTAATATCTTATGATTGTATCCTATTTTTATTTATTTTTTGAGCCACTTGTCAGTATGCCCAACTTTTTAGTATCGTACTTGAAAACGTTTTCTCTGCTAGTATATCTTCACGATTCGTGCCCAACACTGCTATTCAGTGTACATACGAAACACTTATAGTATATTTAATACTACTCTACTTCGGGTCCAGCGCTTTATTCGCTCTTTTCCTAGTGCCGCAATGCTTTGGGTTAGATCAATTTGATCCTATGCATATTTGCTTATTTGTACTGAAGTCGGTTAGATTTAAGGGCACATTTATATCTGTTGTGGCTAGTTGATCATCAGGTCCCTTCTCTATATTCGAATATTTATTAAGGTCGTTGATGACTTCGGACCAGGGCAAGGCGTCATGCTTTATGATACTTTACTAAATAACTCGCCAAGATCTACGTTCACAGTTACAAGGCGATCCTCCTTCAACTTTTAAAAAGAACTGAAAGGTATTCCAGTACTGATGGCCTATCGGTTTTACTGCTGATCCACTTGTCAATGTGTGCCGGTTCCATTTGGATATGACGATAGCGCATAGTCCAAATCGTTATTTAATGTTTGAGTGCATAATTGAGATAGTTTACTCATCCTTTAGTCGCTCAAATACAAATACCTCATCTCAGTGGCCCCATTTTTTCCTTTAAATTATTAGTTTTTACTCAGTTCAATTCTCAAGATTTAATTTTATGCTCTGCTCATCTCTATTAGTTTGTGATCCTACGACCCATCTGCCACTTGGTGACTGTCCCTTGTATATAGAAAGCAGGGCTTTCTATATAGATAAAAATGAATAAAGGAATTTTTTTGCTTTGCTCTATGGTCGTTGTGATAAATGGAGTCCGAGTCTAAGGTATTTTGGCATTGGTTCTCATTTATGACAGAGCAATTAATGTCTTTCTTAACGACTATTCATGTTCAACATGTCCACGATGTAGTGAATATTTACCATGTGTACTTTCTGGTAATAAAATAGCTACTACCTGACTGGTAAGTGACTGAATTGCTCACAAATTAGTAGGGTCGCATCCTGTTTTCACATGGAGGATGTGCTAAATCACTATTCGTTAAAGAATAGGGGCCCATTCGACCGGAAACGAGTAAGATCATTTCCTTCCTAAAAAGTTGCCTTGTTAGCGAATTAAAGCAGGATATTTTCGCATACTAATAAATTCTGTCGGCTCAAGTATACATGATTTCATTTGGTGTGAAAAATTGCTTGGAGATTTTTCGTAAGCTGCAGCAGCCAGGAATATCGCCATTCGTCAAATTAAGTTCGCATAACGGTTTGATGTAATTTGTACAAATAATGTGAACTATAAGCTGGTCTTATGTTGGTTATATTGACGTTAGAATCTGTTCCACTCATATTTTGACGGAATTATGCGTCCAAAACTCATTCTCAAATTTATGTTGTCCAAGGACATATTTCTGTAAATAAAAAATACCGAGTCGACATCATAGATTTGGCCCAAATTATTCGTTTGCGCGCTCATTTCCCAGGACGCACGGTATGCCGGCAGGTGATATTAAGATGTTCGCATGCAATATTGCATGAATTACGTCAAGATTCCATTATTCTCAAAGTGATCCGGAACAGTGAAACTCAGTGGAAACATCAGCTCTACTCGTATAATTGTGGAAAAATTCAAGTGCCAGTGCTTCATCATCTTAAACGAAACACACTGAACATAACTCTTGGATTGGATTACTGGTAGTCTGGGGCAGAGGAAGCAAGTCTGGGTACGTTTTGGTCTCTGTTGCTCGGACTAGGCTGATAAATAATGCTTTAATAATTAAGCACCTTTATTAGGATCAAAGAGGCAGCAAGCCTTCGTTTCCGATTAACAAATCAAGATCTGGAAGGTAATATTTGACTACTTTAGGTGATGTGTGATTGTAGGTGCCTATCTGAGGGCATAGTGGGAATTTAAATAGTTTTCAGAATCCCGGCTACTATACTTCAGTCAATGAAACACTTCGCATAAATAAATTGGAGTCATTGGATGCACTACGAGATCCTGAATATTTAGAGGGCATATAAAAGACTTTCCCAATATGGAATGATGAAAACATGGTGCCGTTAGTAGATAATAGCAGGCAATCGATCTTCAGGACATCTTCGCTTTTTGCAATCCTGGATAGAGCCCTCAGAGGGGATAGCCATTGAGGCTTATTAGGGCAAATGCGCCCGTACCATGTCCAAACACAGCCTGTTAAGGGGAACTTAATCTATAAACCGAATACAGTGGCTAGCATATGCAGAAAAATTAAGCTTCGACGACTTCATTTGTGATTTATTGTAACATGATTTTCCATTTCCAAGGAAAGGTTGGTTGGAATGAATTCGTGAAACGGTCTCACTAAACTGAACGATTGTCGTGGGGTGAAGACTATTGGATTGCGAAAAGAATTCTTCGGCTCATCATCCTGTGACCGAGATGAACAAGTGTTAAACTTTCGTCTACTGTGTCAGACTCATTAGAACAAAAATCCATACCTTACGAGAGAGTGCGAAAAAAACTCTTCGCTTGGTTCAATGTATTTTTTGTGCTCTTTTGTAGGAATTTGACTCTTGCTCTGATTATGCCTCTCGCAGTACGGACGAACTCTTCACTCTGTGGCAATACTCCTTTGGTTTTCGGTTAGACCATTTCACGAATTCCCTCTAACCAATTATTCCTTCAAAAAGGAAAGGCATGTCACAATATAGTGGCTAATATAGTTGGAATCACAGTTGTACATAGGGTAGGTAAGAAGGGGCAGTTGCAAATGAGACAAACTTAGAAGGTACAAAGCGAAGGATTTTGGGGAAGCCTGTGGGGAAATGGGCCAATATTGGTATGTACGACATAGGTCAAGCCATCAATCAGTGGGAGGGCTGTACATTTCGAGTGAGTATTATATTCAACTGGTATGGTTGAGCTATGATGAGCTGGTTGGCCTAATGTCCTTATGGGCTACTATAATTGATTGCAGGTAGGCTTTCGAGGCTATTAGTAAATCAGATATATGAGATATGTTCACCCGATTTTGTTTAAAGTGGAAAAGAGCTCATAATTGAATTTTCCTACAATGACGTGGGTAGACCTTACGTTTCCATCGAATTTCACTTAATCTTGATTTCATAAAGGAAGGCATCACCTTAAAAGAAATAGGGCTTAAATCAGGAATGTAAATACGGATGTCTACTATTGGCATATTGGGATAGACTGGTGAGCTGAGAAATTGCATAACTGTGAAAATTGTTGGTATTGCTAGGAAATCAGGATGAGGAAGACCGTGGATAGTGATCCTAAACATGAAGAAATACTCGGTTTCGGTGAATCTATTGATTTTACCTTTAATTTTATTGAAAAGGCGGAAGGGATCCGTAAATTGCCGCGCTTGAAACGAAAGGAGGGTGGCCTCGTGACCATTGATTTCTGCGAAGGAATCATTATGGCACAATCATGCGACTAATTTCCATCAATCATGAGCTATAGTTTACACTTCCATGACAGACATCGTCATGGAGTAACCATAATTTACGAATATGGCACTAATACTTTAAGCTGATGGCTGGTTGTAATCACATTTGTTGCCTATTGGCTGACTAAGCTTTAAGTCCTTATTTATGCACTCTAAGAGTGTTGCTCTGATGTTAATTTTAAGTCCTTGTGGCTCTATTAATTGGTATGCTAGCTTGAGCATGAAATCCTCTTTTTTTTGTCATTTGCTTGTAAACTAACTTAACGAACCCACAAGAATTCCTCTATGAAAATCACAAAGTATAGGAGAGTTGCTTTAAGTGATGTATTATATACCGCGCAATCCTTATTATTCACGATTATTCTAATTATACATGTATATTAGGCCTAGATCTTCAATTAAAGTGTGAGCTCATTTTCCACTTCTCCAGTTACCAATTTTTTACACATCGCTACAGAAAGCCCTTTAGTCTAACCATCAGGGGTACTATCTGATCCTTAATTCCGACCGTACAGATTTTAGAATCATCCTATGCTTGCAAAATATTCTTTACATAGCTTAACCTATACATAACTACACCTCCTTTGTCTACTCTTAATAGCAATTTAGTTTGTTTCTGATATGCAACTCAATATCCATTTCAGTCTTTTTAGTAACCGATCGGTACAACTTACTGGGTCTGTCATTATTTTCTACTTTTATCTTTACTACTATCCAGCACAGTCCGAAAATTTTTAAGAAACCGCCATACTGACAACGTCCAGCACTATTTGGGACAAGTGTATAACTTTCTTGCCTAATTTGCTCTGCTTCTTAACCTCCTAATGTGTCTTGTCGTCTTGTCTTAAATTATATACCAAAATTCCTAAGTTTTTCAAATATGCTTAGCCAAAACCGATTTAAAAACTCAATCATATTACTTATTTACCATTTAGGAAGTTCTCTGATCTTAGAGGGTTAGACGAGGCCTGCTATAGTCTGTTTTTATTCTTTATTAATGAGTGAAAATTAAAAATCCTTTTCCGAATATCTAAGGTTGCTCTTAGCCATATGTAACAAAATTTAATCTATCAATATTACCGAACTTTAGGAATACTTTTAAGTGAGCAACAGAGATTTAAAAAACCATTATGGTTAACTTGAATTTCCATTAATTTCTCAGTCATGCTTTAAATTTGTGAGAGCCAAAAATATTAGTAAGCGCATTTAATTATTTGACAAATATAGAATTCAAAATATTAGTCCTCTCGAGAACTGCTTTTTTGGATGAAAGACGCAGAGAATTTTAGCGCAAAATCGGAGCTCCGATTGAATCTACTGTGGAATCGAGAAACCGTTGAATAGACA